CAACCATCTTCAAAAACCATGTTAAAGACATTTGTTTGACACGAATTTTTAAATGTATACTCTTTTCATTCTAAAGAACAATCACAAAAAAGAAAATTTTGAAAAAAGGCCCTAGAAAGTGTTTTCCTAGCCCAATTAATATAACCCGTCCATTTTAGTGAGATTGTTAGATACAGGCGTCAGAAAGATTTTTTTATTCCCAAAATTTTTATATAGTGTTATCATCATTAGATTAACAACGTTAAAAAAGAAAAAAATGATTTTGAATTTGTTAAGGCTAAGATCTTGAAATTCACCAAATAGGTTATCAAGATTCATTGTTGGAGGGTACTAATTTTTACCAATATCTAGAGTGCAAATCGAATTTATGTTTTCGTAGGATTAATTATGAGGATGACGAGAATGTGTGCAAAATTTGGGGTAATGCCAAACACATGGTTATCTAGAGGTGTGGTTGGCATTATATTATTATACAACCGTTACATGAAATCATTCCCCTATATATATATATATATAGATATGGGATATTCTAAACTTCACAACCCTTCAAATTACAAAGGTTCAAGATAGAGGGAGTTGTGAAGGGTGGATTTATTAATCTTGTTGTCTATTTTTTTAAAAAAAATTACTTTTGCGGGCAAATTTGTAAATATTACTACAAGACAAAGGATAATTTTGTCATCTCCATAAGGGGTAAAATTGAAATTTTAACTAAATGACAAAGGCACTCTACAAATAAAGTTCAAGATACTAACTTCCAAACTGCCACTGTACAAGCTTCATATGACCCAAAACTATTATTATGTGTGCACATTGATTTATTATATTAGTTTCACTCGAATGAAGGAATGTTCTCTCTCTGTTAATATGTTACATATTATAACAAAGTTTGAATGAGTAAACTTAAATCGTTAACAAGTACGTCAGTGAAAACAACCAATATAAAAGATTGCTTGATAGATACATATTCAAGGAATGCTTTTTTCAGGGATACCTACCATGAGAATGCGTATTTGAAACAAACAAAAAGAAAGTCATAAAGAAGCATGATGGTGGAAAAGAAAGTCATAAAGAAGCATGATGGTGGAAATGACTAAAATGTGAGACTGCTTACTGCTTACTGATAAGACAACTCAAGATCATTGCAAGATTGATGAAAGCCTTTTCACCCAATGCATGAGATGAAACTTAGGACATTCTAGAAATTAGGAGGCATTCAAGGCAAACCAAGAGAAAAAAATTAGAAATTTCTCAAAATAGGTGAAATAGTAAAACTTCAAACAAAATGAGAGAAAAAACAGAAATCTTTCCTAAAGGAAATAAAGAAGCACCTGAGCCTGAATGGATCCATTTGCTGCAGGGCTGTTCTTAGAAGGCATGTGATGAGATCCATCTGATTCTGATAGCTGAGTTTCAGCAATACCATTTGCGACATCCAAATGAGGCCTTTTCAAAGTACCCATGTCTGGTTCCTTGACACTTACATGCTCATCGTTGGTCTTAGGCTGAAGGGACCCATTCTTTGTGGAGGTGTTGTTCTTAGACAAGGAATGATTGGATCCATCTGAGGTCAATGTCTCAGTTTTAGCCATACCATTGTCTAAATCCAGGCGAGGGCTTCTCAAAGTACACATGTCCTGCTCCTTGATACTTGCATGCTCAGATCTGGCCTGCGCTCGAAGTGAAACATTCTTTGCGGGAGTGTTGTTCTTAGATGATGAGTAATGGGATCCATCAGAAGCCAGTGTCTCAGTTTTAGCAATACCATTTTCTAATGCCAAGCGAGGGCTTCTCAAAGCATGAACATGTTGTTCCTTTTCACTTACAAGCTCAGTTTTTGCCTGAGTTCGAAGTGACCCATTCATTGTGGGAGTGGGAGTGTTGTTCTTGGAAGACATATGGGATTCATTTGAAGTCAAGGCCTGAGCTTTAGCGTCACCATTTGCTATTTCCAAGGAAAACCCTTTTGAAGTACGACCATTCGCTTCCTTGACACTTTTGGCTGGTTCACTCATATGAGAACCATCTCGGTGATTGCTATCGTTGTCATTGCCATTTTCTGCAGAGGCCCTAAATCTATTTCCTTCAATAGCACCCACCGTAGAAGAGGAGCCAGCATGGCAGTCAGGTCCATTCAGTTCAGCCATAATTGACAAATGTCCTGCAGTGAATTGGGTACTCTCCGTGTTGTCAATCCTTGTGCTTTCTCTTGCATTGGAATTTGCATTTGATGGAGAAATATGAAGCGGGTTCCTCTCCATTGCGCTTTCTAACCCATTTTCATTGCTACCAGACTTTAACCTTTCTTTTGCATCTGAATTCACTTTTGGCAAAGAAATATGAAGTAGGCTTTTCTCCATCGCACTTGCCAACCCATTTTCCTTGCTAGCAATCTTCATGCTTTCTTTTGCATTGGCATTTAATGAAGAAGCATGAAGTCCCTTTTTCTCCATTGCACTTGCTAAACCGTTTTCTCTATGAGTAGCATCCACTAGTTTTCTCTGGAGAGATCTTTTTCTATCAAGCACATAGAACAGCATGTATGCCTTCTGTTGCAACACAAACTTCTCGCTGACTTGATAGACCTACAAGTACATCAAGAACAGCTTTCTCTCAAAAAAAAGTACGTCAAGAACAGCCATGAAACCCTAAATATAGAAAAAGAATTTCACCTATAACAATAAATTAATATTTGCAGTCTGATAATAAGAGCAAATTTTGGAGTTCCTAGGATTGGTTGTCCTATACTTTGTCTCCTTCTCCTGGTAGTCCTAACAAAAAATTGATTCTCCTATGCTCACTATCCTTTTATACGTTTACGGACTCCCAAAATTAAAGCTTCTCTTCTACAGTTTAGAAAAAAGACCTTTACTTCTCTCAATATCAAAAACAGCTTCATAGTCTCTTTTTTGGCAATTTCAGTGGCAACCAACAGCACCCAAGAACTATGCCAATAGACTTGGGGGATACCATTTCAAAGCAAAGTTCCCTCCCCCCAATCTCCCTTCTCCTCCCCGCCCCTACCTCTTTATGTTCAACACTCATAGGGTAAGTACATCAAAGAGAGGTTTGGTACCCGATTATCATCGAGAGCATGCCATATGCCACTTGATGTGCGAATAAAGCAATAATAGTGACCTGAATGTGTGCTCCAACCGGCATGAACAAGAACACCATAAAGTGTGTATCTCAAATCTACATCCTGCCATGCAGATAAAATCGAACTAAATAAAAATTTACAAAAAAATTAAAGGACATGGATGGATAGATGGACAAACTCACAGATATTACTGATAACAGAATACTTATAAAAAAAACACAGTAAACTATTATCAAACGCATTATGAAAAATCTTATCACCACCTGATGAAATGACGGACAGTGATGGAATTAGTGAAACCCTCCAGAGCAAGAGAAAACCCCAATGGTCGGTCCCACTTTCTATTTATCAATGTTCATCATTCATCGAGAGGTAAGTACCCCAATAGACTCTGGTTTTCCACAGTCTATTGGAGTTAAACTATTGTATACTATCCTTAACAGAGAATACTTATGAACACAGGAAATTTAAATAACAGGGAATAAATATATGTGAAGGGAAATAATCATAGAGGAGGTCCTTCCATTTGGTATTGTTGGAGTTCCCTCTCCAACAGTCAGATTAGAAATTTGAACAGGGAGGACGTGGTTACTGGGTTGGGTTATTGTGGTATTTATTTTATTGGGGGTAAACACCATCCCAATAACCATCAAATTTCTGATCTGATGATTGGAGAGGGAAAAAGCATACATAAGAAAACAAAAGGGACCCCCGTAAAATCCTCCACTTACATATTGACCACTGACAAAGGGCTTTAGTTCCAAATTAGATCCAAACTGAACCATCTTGTCAATTTTCCCTCCCATCCCATCTGGACTGAACCGCTTCAGATGAATTGTGAGGACATAAGGTGCCTTGTGAATGGTAAGCTGCTTAAAAGCTCGAACCTTCTTATTGCAGCGGTCACATTGGTATTGTTTCTCTCCACCATCCAACTGCTCACGAGCTGTAAAATGTGCAAGGGCTTTCCGCACTGAATCTGCTTTCACTATTTCAAGGCTCAAATCCAAGAATGGATCAAATGTGTTTGACTCATGGGAACACTGTGTGCATTTGACCTGAAGCAAGAAGAATAACATCGTAAAGACAATGATAGTTCCATAGCACTGTGCATCAACTTAAATGACTATGGAAAACCATAGTCACCCGGTATTTGGGTCATCTCTCTCTCTCTCTCTCTCTCTCGCACGCATACACACTTTGTTGGATGGTGATGACCGCAATGTACTTGGATTAATGCATGCTTTCCTATGAATTGATAAGAAAAAGGAAAGAAAGGGTTACCTGACTCTGTAGACGCCCACCAAATATCTTGTGAACCAAGCTTTTCTCATAAGCACCAGGAGACTCGCTCAAAACACCAGATGGTAAGCAGCACTTATGCATGCATTCCATTAAGTTAACCATGTATTCATGTGCATCCTCCTGCCTTGAATTGCGAAAATTGCGAGATATGCCTATTCTCATAGTCAAGAATCTCAACTCATCGCATCTAGAGATCTGGATACTAACAGGCAGATAATGCATATAACAATTGGGATGATATACAAGAACCAATGAACAATGAAATGATGGATGATGATGGTGAGACAGTGGGACCTAAAATTGGGGTGTCCAATAGGTCCTACTCTCTCCTACATCATCCATAATTTATGGTCGTGACCCCAATGGACTACGTGGACTGTAGAATATTTATTACACTTCTTCATAAAAAATCACAAACACCCACACAACAAAAAGCATGGAAATGTAAAATCTGTCAATACACAATAATACAAAATAACATCCAAAATCAGCTGTAGTAATAAACACAGTAAAAGGATACACCGCAAATTTCTCACAAGATGATTAGGTGATAATATTTTCCCAGACGACCGTAGAGCACTCATAACATGATTTTGAATGGCACACATTGCACAGAACCCAGCCATATGACCTTCAAAACAGGAACAAGAACTGAAGTTAGACACAAGATCTGGGGTCTTGAAAAGCCTCCATTGAAGACATTCCAACTAGTTTAATAATTCAATAATGGATAACTCTAGCAATAAAAAACAATTTTGGAATAAACTGTGTGTGAAAATATATTTTCTTAAGAGAAAAGCTGGATTAAGTAAGAGAAAATAAATACCAATACCATTTAAAGAGATAATTGTTCATGAATACCTGATCAATAGACACTACATATCATTCATGTAGGTCACCAACCATAATACACAACTGTAATATTTTGAGATTGGTAAACTGTTAATCAAAGCTTGCAGGCCTTGTCCGTGCTGGTCCCCTCATATAAACAAAGACAAAACACAGGCATAACTTGCAAATACTTTTGCAGAGAGAATAAATAAAAGGAATCAAGAGACTTTAGGGACATATACAGATCATTTTTTTCTCCCTAAATGATTGAGGAGTTTTCTCTTCATGATATGAGAAGCAGAGAAAATTCAGATTTCCATGGAGAAGGATGAATATTTTTGAAAAGTAAGGTCCATAAAAGTCGGGTGGGACAACATGACAAGATCCAGAACAAATGAAAAACAGAATAATTGGATAATATAAAATCATTTAGTAGAGAGATTGGTGCTCAAGACAAGTAGCAATTAGGAAGGACATGAGCTATCCTCATTTGCAGCTTCTTTGTTTTAAAATTTTCACATTTCTGATCTTATAATCATTCTTCATACAATACTCTACCCTCACATTCTTGTACCAATGCTTCTGCTAATGGAACCATTAGGAAATTTGGCAGGAATGTTACAGTCAGTTAATCAACTTTGTCAACTTTGTAATTTTAGGTCTGTCAACTACTTTTGAGTTAATTGGTATAAGTATTTAAAATCAAACTACTATACATGTACATGTATATATGTGTGTATGTGTGTGTATACAAATGAAAAAGTGGTCTTGAGAAGGGATTAGTAAAAGGAACTATAAATTCCAAACGAATTACATTAGCATACATGGCTATTTATGACTTTGCCAAGAGTGCCAGAATGTAAGTAAAGGCTTGCACAGATGAAGTAAGACTTCCACGATTATATAAAAAACTTGGACTTAGTGGTCCTCCGGCTTATTACGCAGGAATTAGCGCTTCTCTATATCTTGTGTATTTAGGACATTGAGCATCATGAGTGTTACGAATCACCCCAATTCCTTGACCCAAATCAACTCATTAAAGAAATTAGCAATTCAGTCTCCACACAGCAAACTATGCTTCTACCAACAATCCAAACCAAAGATTACAAACTCAGTGAAAACTTCTTCCTATCACCTCCCTCGTCAATGCAAAGAAAAATGATCTTCTCAATTTTCATATTGCTGTTAATCGAGTACAATGGTCTTCACGGTTTTCATATTTCTGTTAATGCAAAGAACAATGGTCTTCCTCCTCAGATAAATGAATCCTTAAATCTCCATTTCCCACTCCAAAAAGTGTCAAACTCAAAGCCACACTTTCTGCCACCAGGGAACAGTGCCAAACATGAAATACGGATATTGGAATGCTGGTCTTTTTCAACTTGGTAAAAGAGAATGTACGCAGCATCATAAAAATAAGAAATTCTTCAGGACTACATCAACGGTCTACACTTTAACTCTCTAGACCATAAATCTAAATAACTTACAATAAATTCACATCCTAAAATTCCCAATAAATCCATTAATTCATTAACCTCCCAAGATACCATTTAACCATGCAAACATGGCCATTTGACAAATGGATTCCTTTGTTTAGAGCACTGCTCAGAGAATCAGAGCGTAATTCCAAAATCCTACAGATAAGAAAAATTAAGCTAAATAATGCCTTGCAAAACACTCAAGGAGGCTTGGGACCATTCTCTAAACAAGAGGCCTCACAAAACTATAAACCCTAAGTTTTCTACAATTAATTAAACCTAATCAATAGATTCCAGATAAAGGCACTTCCTTTTAACTAAAGAAACAGATCCATAGTTAAATGTGAGACTTTAATCAAAAGCTCTGGTTTATGTGATATGGATTCAACAATTCACCATTTCCAAACAAGCATTCTTCACTTCCAGTTGTCATAAATCAGAATATCAAATAATCAGACATCGAAGCTTTCCAAAAAGATAGAACACAACCAACAGAGCAGAAGCAAAAAGGCAAAAAGCAAGTGACATCAAAAGTTAAGACTCACAAGAAGATTTGTGCTTCCCACTCTGCAAATAAGCAGCTAATGGCTCCGTATAGGTCAGGCATTGAAGAACCGAATTAAGAAAGCAAGTGTTCCCCAGATTAGCCAAACCCGCACCCTGTTTATCAATAACCATAACATTCAACACTCCAAACCGGACACAACGACAATATAGCATAAAAAGAAGCACAAACCCAAACAAAGTCAACTTAACAAATGGATATAGAGAGAGAAATCTAACAAGAAGACATTAATAACACTAGCACCCATCAAAAGATTTCTCGAGAAATCTAACAAATTCAACCAAGATAACAAGAACCCATTAATAATACTCACAATCCGATGAAACCCAATTCCAAGATTGAGGTCCGGGTCCAAACTGAGCTCATGGTGGTCACTGTTTTCAAGCTTCTTCGCCACAGGAGGCACCATAGCCATGTTGGAAACAGGCTTCTGCTGCTCTACACTAGGATTGAGAATCTCCAAATGAAAATCGCCATTGGAGGAAACAGAATAAGCTTTTCTCGCGGGGTGAAACGCGATTCTTCTCTGAAAAAGAGGGTTTATACTAGAAGGCATTGAGAACCCATCGCCATGGCTGCTCTGGTGGGTCGATCCATCTCCATTGCTGATAAACCCAGCCATTAAAACGTGAAATTCACAATTATCAGAGAGGGTTTTCTCTTACTATCCGTGTTCAAGAATGCGCCGCCTTGAGTCGCACAGCCATAATCGGAACAGAAGAGCGCGACAGTGCGTAGAAAGAGAGAGGAAAAGAGGTAAACGTGTGCTTTTTATTGGTGTGAAGTGTGAACTTACATAAAACCCTATACCCACATGTTTGGGTTTAGGCCAATGGTTTAAAAAACGGGTCGGTGATCCGGATCGGGCTTCTAAAAAACAGATTCAGATCGGCGAATTGGCGATTCGGATCGAAAATCGGGTGAATCGTTCATAATAAAACTTAAAAAAAATTCGAAAAATTTATTAAAATTCATTATAAATATTATTTTTTAGGAATTCAATAAGAAATGAGGGTACTCCATTAAGAATTTTCATATTTTTGAATGAATATGCGAATATTGATATGTTCTTTCCCTGCATGAACCGCCATTCAGCATTTAATTTACATCACACAAAAGGATAAACATATAATTATCATGAAATAAGTATATTAACATACATGGACTACAATAAAGCATAAAATTAGTCTCATATGATCTAAAAATAAAATGATACACGACGTTATTGTTCTTCTTGGTCACGCTGGTGCCATTGATTGAATTCGTTAAACAATTCATTGATTTGATCTAAAAATGAATCATCGATATTAGCAGGCGTCTGACTATTCCTAAATCCCTGAGTGTTAGTGTTTTGTTGTGTTCCCAATCTAAAATCCCCGAAGATTGTCCATCCTTCATGCTCACCTGCACTGTCGTGCTCATCCCTACACTGTTGTTGTTAGGACTCGATATGTGAATAATATGGCTGGGATAGGGTGGCCTCAGAATCATCATCTCTCTCATTTTCTCTTTGAATAATATAGATTAAAAAAAAAATAACAAATTTTCAAAAAAATCGATCATGGATTAAAAAAAAAAATCACAAATTTTCAAAAAATTCTATCATGGATTACAAAAAAAATTCGATCATGGATTAAAAAAAAAATCACAAATTTTCAAAAAATTCTATCATGGATTACAAAAAAAAATTGATCATGGATTAAAAAAAAAAAATACTCAAATTTTCAAAAAATTCAATCATGGATTACAAAAAATTCGATCATGGATTACATACAATTCGATCAT